TATGTGTTGGAGAACGACCTGTCATTTTCCAACAGGAGTCTCCTCTCTTTATTTATAGTCTTGTTCTCGGGATGCTCGAGGCCACGCAAAGCCGGTCACACGCGTGCTCGTCACGGGTGGGCATCCGAAGGGGCGCTGGGTATAAAAGAAACAGCTGCTTGCAAACTGGTGTCTCACTAGAGTACACTCTGGAGACTTTCTAAAGTAAATCGACTTGTAGGTCAATCTTGCAATGCTAAAAAAACAACAACCGCTTGAAACCAAAAATAAATAAATAAAAAGGCTACGACAAAAAGTGAACGCATCTGATGGACAGTCCCTTTCATGAGACGTTTTTGTTTATTGCGATCAAGTTAATTATTTAGTTAATTTAATCCAGAATTATTTAACTCCAGTCAGATTTGTGCAGTCTGGAGCAAAGGCAAGAACAGAAATGCACCGAACTTAAACACTTAAAACACTTAAAATACATGGCCTCAGGCAAGGTAGAGGTTAGAAATTTGTAAATGTGCGAGAAAACGGTCGAACAGCGACCGGGAGTGAGCTGGGAAGTGCGCTGTGTCTTTAAATCCTGCTGTGAAAGTTGGTCGCACTAGCTGACACCACCTCAGCCCGATTTACACTTGGTTGCTGGTCCCGTTGCGGTAATCATGTAAGTATGTTTCTCCCGGTCAAACCCGGTGCCGTTCGGGCCCCGGCCCAGAGGGTGGGCCGCGAAAACAACATTTCGACACCGAAACCGAGCGGCGGTTTTCCCGTTTCGACGTGTGAAGGGCGCCCGTGTGAGGTGTCGGGGATGCGGGCAAAGGGCGTTTGTCCTGAGTCAAGTTGCCGGGCAAGAACGAGGCTTCGTCTTAAGTTTTGACTTGTAGGCCCGTTGTTCTGTTTTTGTTTTTAAACTTTATAACAAATCCGTCGAGGTCTGAAACGGTAAAGCCAGGATCCAGGACACCATTGTCTGTGTGTTTGCTGCATATGTGTTACTTTGTTGAGGTTTTTTTTTTTTACTATGGGAAGTAAACGGTTTTTAATGGACCCGGCGCTGTTACTCTTTTTTGAGTAAACGCTTCATTATTTTTTTTACATGATCAAGAGTTACGTTAAAAGAAAGCCGGTACTGGATCATTCGCCACTTTGCATTTTCGGTTTTTCGTTACTGAAGAAGTAACGCAGTTGAGGGGGTTTATTTTCTTGCTTTAGGAAAGGGGGGGGGGGGCTTCTCTTATTTAAAATTAACCGAACTTTTCCGCAGTTTGGTTTTTACTTTTGCGTTTTGGTGTCATGTTTTAACATGCTTTATAAGAGACGTGGCGTTGTGCGGGAAATTACTTTAATAATTGACCTCGCTGTGGTCACCTCGGGTGTGTCCAGGCGCACTATCTTGCATAACTTGCTCTGAAATCACTCTTGAGAGTATATTTTAAGTGGCCGGGATTCAAACGGCTGTCCAAACCTTACATGCAACAGGCAAGTTTTATTTCTAAAAGCTCGCTTAAAGCATAGGACGCTTATCTCGGAGGTAGCACCTATTAATCGCGATGCCCACAGTGCTGTTAACACTCCCAGGAAAATCGCAGTTTGGGTCGTTGTTTGATTATGTTCAACTTCGTAATTCATATGTACAAGGTACGACATTTATTATATTTAGGAAGAAAAATGCAATGCAAAGGACTGGGGAATTCTGTTCTGAACAAAAAGCCTAAGAAAAGTATATCCTCGTTACTAATTCATCGATTTTTCTGCTGCTTTTATTGAAATCGCCCTATATTTTGCATCCATTTACACATCTGGACAGTCTGCTGAAGCTGTGTGGGCGAATGCTAACGAGGGGGATCGCCTCAAATCTTCTTGGTAAA